TATTTATTATAATAGGATATTAGGTAGGTATACGCATTTATACAATTATACCTATACATTTTGTTTTCGGAATAAAATAATTTATGCATAAATGCCTAACCTAACTGCACTTGGTCAATTATTATTTAATGTAAACTAAAACAAATTATATCCAAACGCAAATAAATGCTACACTTGTGGCTAAGTTGTCGAAGCGTATAATATGATTTATGGTATAATATTATGATCAAATATTAAAATATAAATTTTCTATCTAAGTATATTTTTTGACCATATTACAAGTTTATGAAAATATTTTATACTGACATATTGATATATGACATAGTTATATGACGTATTTTAACTTAACTTAAAGAATTAATTCACAAAAAAAAAAATATCATAGTATTGTATTTACAAGATTATATTTTTAATTTTACCTAATAAATTTAAATCTTATAGTAAGCTTGAATTTATGCTGAAGCTAAATAATATTAATACATGAGTTTTAAATAATGAAAACAATAACATTAGTTGTAATCAACAATAAACAATTATCAATTAATATATCACTTGATAAAATTACTTATCTGGTTATCGGTATTAGTTAAATTAATATTTTATACATACAGTAGGTAACACAAGAATGTAAACTATATATAATATATATTATTATATATATATTATATTAAACTTTGACGTTGTATGTTATTGTTTCAATACAATAATCATTATTTATAACGAAAAATATTGCATACTCGAGATAAAATATTTGGCTATTGATCAAAATGGTCATGATTTTAATTAAAAAGAAGATTAAACAAATTTTTTATGGAATATAAATTTGAATAAACTCGTTTTTCCATACTCCGCAGCGTTATGTTTATATACGGAATGTTCTACGAATATTTTCAACTAAACTAATGAAATAAAACAAACCTAATCTTCCGATCGAATTATAAAATTATTGGTTGAAATGTTGAATAACCTGTATTTATAATTATATATTTCGTTTGCCATTGTAGTAAAATTGTAAAAATCTATAAAGATTAAAAGATTAATTTTTAAAATAAATTATTACTTAGCCACCAAAGATTTAGTTTATAAATTGTTTTGTTTCTACTTAGTTATTCTAAACCTTCTAAAATGGAAGTAAAAACTAATGTTTTTCTAACAAACTCTCAGTAATATCATGGAATAAATAAATCAGGATGGACACTGATAAGAAATTATACTAGAAGTATAGGGAAATCTAATTTATGAACTCTCCATTTTTTTGGAAGAAATCAATATGACTATTCATACATATCTATGTACACATCAAATAATATTATCTCCTCAAAAAAAATGGCTGCTAATTATTGTTATATTTAAGTAATTGAGATCAATCTTAAAAACTTTTAAGATGTGATTATTTATTACTACCTACTCTAAGTAGTTAATATTCATTATGTATTTTTAAAATTTCCCTATAAGATAAAGGTATTAATGTTTAATGTACATTAGAAATTGTGTTCTACACAATAGGTAATCACTTACTTACTGAAGCAACTAACAAGTCTTCTATAAATGTGACTGTTAAAAAGCACAGACAAGTTTTTTTTCCTTACTCTCGGAAATCACTCAATGTCAAGTATCGCACTAAAAACGCATTCAATGATTTAGTACTATCTACTTAGTATGTAACTTATTCGTTTTAAAATGTTTTTCATGTATCTACGATCTACCAGCTATGTTCTCTTATAGAGCCTAGAGGTATGCATTATATCCATATATCTATATATTGTAGGTATATACTATATAGACGTATATTACTAAAGGTACAGCAATTTTTCCAGCACATAAATCGCCTCCTACCGAAGAATAGTCATAAAAAAATGAATTGAATTATTTATAAACACGGTTGACGTATCTATCGTTTTATTAATGATGTATTTCTTGATTTCATATTATTATGGTTATAAAATAAAAACAATTCATATTCATCACAATAAATTGTCTATTTGCGAATAATAAAAACAACGGAAGACATTACAGAAATAATCTAAATTCTAATCTAATGTTCGTTCTCTGTGAAAAGAATTAGTAATTATTGTTATCCAACCAAAACTTGAGCTCGAGAGCAGATTCATAACAGTGGAAAAATAAATATTCTAAAAAAATATGAGTTGCAATTATCACTATTGTGTGGTGACTATTTCTAAAATCTAGACACGCTTTTCTAAACACATGACTCTGTACATGGTTAAAGCATATAGGTACATCTAATGGTTTCAAGTAAATTAAAAAACATAATCAAAATTTTTAACTTTCGTTTTCGGGATGCATATTTTGGAAGTAGATAGGTGCCATATAAGTGTACAATATCAAGGTCAAATATTTTTACTTCCAGACTTTCAAAGAATCTCATTCATCTCGAATTAACATATCCTTTATATCCTTTATTCATTTCCTAAATTATGTAACCTATATGTAAATACTTGCATAATTCAATATGCACCCGTAGTTTATTTTTTTTTTTACCTATTTGGTACATCCTAAGTAAACAATAGCATAGTGTCTCGAAAAAGACTGAACTATAGATTGTCTAGTCTCCCAGATTGCATACGTACCCATATTTTTCATGTCCAACCCAATTCACACTATTGCAAGCCTCTGTAGCTATTTCCATTGTATACTTCAGTAACTGAATGACTCACCGGTTGAACTAAATTAAATATTTTCATTAAAACAACAATTTTAGTTAATGACATTCAAAGTGTTTATTATTTGACAATGAAAAGAATTGCAACATAATCAAATAAAGTAATGTATAATTGTTTTTATGTAACATACTATACTTTTTAGTAGTGAAAGCACTAAACGCCGCCACGCTGGTGTTGCAGATTTCTTATACCCTCAAATGTTTTTACCCCTGTGGCTCTGTGGAATATTTTTACCAGTCGGGGGAGGGTGTAAAAATTGACTGTTACACCGGTAACATATAATAAATGTACATGTTATGTACAAAAAACCAACAATAATCATAAGAAAAACTTAAACAAGCCTTCGTAACAAAAATAATTTAAAAACATTTTTAATCGTAGATAGGGCGTTGACATTGGTGAGAATCACCATGTAAAAATTAAATCAACGAAAACGACTTGTAGTTGTTAGATAATACTTGAAGTGGTCTATAGGTATACCTTCAATGATGAAAATTTACAGGTATTGTCCAATGTCACGTGAATCATACGATTTTCAAAAAAATCAATTAAAATGAAGAAAATGTATTAAGTTTTATAACTATTTTGAATTATGAATTAACCAATAAACTTGATTTCCACCAAGTAATATTATATTTGATAGCTATACGATGAACACATATGTTTATTACTATATTCATTTTTAAATCATAATTATCTAAATAATATTATGTTTGAAGAAAAAGTTTTATGGCTAGATACTTAGTACAATCATACGAATTAAAAATATGTATATAATATATATACTGCAGAAGTGCAGAGTACTGATGGTCATAATTATTTTGTTGGAGAAAATGTTATCCAATAATATTATACTCTCTCTATATTCATGTTTATGTCGATAAATATAGGTACATAAAATACAATTACCTATGTCAAAAATAATAAAACTTCGGAGTTACTTTCGTTTTTTTATGACAAGGTATGAAAAAAATATTTTGTTTAAAAAAAAAAATAGATGAGGAAGTTAATAGGTTTCTATTCCCTTGTCCAAGGACCAAGGCCATTACTTAGTAACTCCAAAAACATAGTTTTTCAGGAAACAATTCAACAGTTTTCCACACTAAATTAGTCCGCAGAGTAAAAATAATATTTTTTTTTAACATTCAAAGGATGATTTGTTATTATGATGGGTTTAAATTTGTATGGACTTAATGCATATTGGTTTAAATGAATCAGGAAACGAAAATCAGTAAGTACTCTTTTATTTCGAGTTGCTGTTAAAGCCTTTCTGAGGAGGGGTGGGGGTTATAAGCAAAAAATGTGTATTATTCTTATTTTATTATAATACTGTATAGATAATTTATATAGCATACAATTCATAATATTGTAGTACTGATAATCATTAACAAAATTTACATTTAAACATTTTTATTGCGAAATTTTAAAATAATTATTTAACTATTAATTCTATACATTTAATTTGGAAAATTGTTTGTATGACAAACTCCTGAATTAAGTTTCCTAATGCATCTATGTACAATGTACAGTACATAATACCTTCTTTCATATTACTTATTTTGTTATCTATTTATATGATCTTCTAGTTGGAAAGACATTCACTTTTATTTCGGGAATCTATAGAGAGTTAAAATATATCTATCTATTGATAGACACCAAAACTGGATTTTGGCAAAAATGGAATTTCTCCTTAGTGGCTCATGGCGGCCGTATACTAACATAACATTAAAGTATTAAATGTGTAACATTATATAATAATTAACCATGAACTATCATATCACACCACACTGTTTGAACTTTCAATTTTAATTTATAAGCTGTTAATGAAGCTGTTCAAACTTTGCTCCAAACTATACATATCACATCCTGCTCCTCGAATATACAAGTATATGGTAACACTGATGTCCAATTACAGATTTACGACTATTATATTATGTTTATATAGCACAACTGTCAACGATAATAAACATCATATCATTATTATTTATAATAATGAAAAACAATGCAAATAATTGCTTAAAGTAAACCACTTTATAATTCACACGGATCCTTAAACACTGAAGCATAATTATTGTTTTGCAAATAACAGCCAACAGGTACTCTATTATGATAAACCAGTTACGCCAGTTACGTAGGTAACTATATCGGCAATTTAACATTCATTACCATAGATATAAAGTATAAACATCGAAAAAACATCTTGAATAACACATCTACACATCCAACATAACTTAAATTTTATATTATTTTTAAAACTATTCAACAAATTTACATAAACTAATCAATTCGATACAAAAATCGAAATAACACGTCATAATGAATTCTAATAATAACTGCACTAACAAAAGAAATTCATTTTTAACTCGGTATGGTAAGAAATCATTTTTAAATCGAAAATATAAAACTAAATCTGTAACACTTGCCTAAAATAATAAAATATCTACTGTTGAAGTTATTCAATACACGTGCAATCATTTTTAGATTATGACTATCGTATCGACTATAGTTACAACGAGGTAAAGCAATGTTCAATCACAAACAGTACTAAAACAAAGGATGAACAAGGCGGTTCTAATCAAATTCCGGAAGTAAAAAATGAATACCAATACTCAGAACTGTCAAAAATGAGAAGCCTTAACACCAGATACCAATTAAATTTTCAAAACTATATTCAGGAACTGTATAAATCATTGATAAAAGAGTGCAACTATAACTTATTAGATTTAAATTCATTAAACACATCATTAGACTTTGAATCTTTGTTGAGTGTCAGTAATCGAACGTTGAAAGCTATAAAGGTACTTTAGAATAGATCAAAGTATTAAAACGTTTAATAAAATAAACAAACAGAATAATATTAAAATTATATATTGCTAATTTATAAGACTGCAGGTAAATTTAGTTTTATTGAGATGAGCATTCTCAAAAATATATATTATTAACATTATTAAAGTACTTAATTCGAATTTATGGTTTATTGTTTTTGTTTTTTATTTATAGGATCGAAAAATATTTTCGGTATTAGGATATTTTCCAACGATTTCTGTAGAGCTGAAAAATCGTGGTTGGGTCGAAAAACGAGATCCGTACCGACCACCAATAAATTATTCGCTGTGTTTAAAATCATCACGTAAATATTTGAACAGCATTCGCGTATGCTGAAAAATTGAAATCGTATAGCAATTTATTTATGTACAATATTGAAACTTTAAGCACACATGGTTAATTGGATCGAATCGCCTCCACTGATTAAATCGTCAATCAATGAAAACGAAGGTGCCATTGAGCGTATAAAAAGTTTGCAAACTTGGAATATTCTAAAAAATAAAAGATCTGACTTTATTTTCGTCACTAGAAAACAGTTGATTAATTGGTCGACTTTAAGTAAATTGACATGTGTCAGTCAGATGACAAGACACTTATTTTGTACCAAAGTAGGTAGTATATTTTTACCTACATATTATAATACATATCTAATTATAATTTACAACTATTAAATATTTCACTCAACTATTGACAAATCCAATAGTTGTCTTGGGGCTCGGCTCATCTTAATGCATTAGTGTTTAATTTTTAAAACTGTTACTTGGTCACTTGGTTGAGAGCACCTTTTGAATTGTTCATTTTAGACCAAAAGATTAAATAAATAAGTTAAAACTCAACCGAACAACATACAAATACACAATTCATAATCAGATCATTCAGATGTACGAATAAAAGCTCTCAAAATAAGTTATATAAATATTATTATGAAAATAAACTTAAACTCTCTTTATTTTTCTTATAAATTAAAAACATTAGCCAGTGGTATATTTAACGAAGTGCAATGGTTAGAACTTAGAAGGGACTGCAATTGGAAGTAATTTAAAAATAATTTATTTTTGTTCTATAATCTTAATTTTATTTATCTGAACTATTTACTATATAATTTTACATACTCGCGCACATTCAAGCTTAAACAACTACGAATAAAAATATATTCATACCTAGGTACTTAAATCATATTTTTTTCTATACCTACCCAGATACCTGTTATTATTTTCGAATAAATTAATTCCTTCACGTTTTCGTTTAAACGATCGTTTATACAAACGCTCAAGCACACTATAATACTAATCTCAGTATAGGTATTGACTTGGGTACTATATTATTGCTTTTATGTACATCGAAATATTTAAAAATGTAATTATATTTACGATGTTTGATGTACCTAACCCATTTGTTAATAATATAGTACCAATATGTATAACTCTGTTAGGTTTTAAACGAATTATTAAAATACATTTTAAAAGAATCCACAAAATATACCATAATCAATATCACTAGTAATGTATAATTGTGATTACAAAAAAAATGTTTAACTTTATTTATTTATCGACTGTCGGTAAGATGACGAAAATTATATAAATGTATAATGAAAATGTAATGAAAGTGTAATAACAAATTAAAATAACCATGTGTGAAAACAATATGGTTTTTTTTTTTTAATTGCTAGTTGAAGTTTTTTATTGGAGTATTATAAAAAGATAAATGCTATTTTAAATGTTTTGGCTGTTAATGAGATTTTTAATATACATTCTCCAATAGTTGAATATAAATAACACCATAACAGATAACAATTATGCATTACCAAACTGATTAGGTTATTATTAGTCAGCCTTGTGGTTAAAATATCTATTTTGACAAACACAGAATGGTTTGGCACAATGTTTGGAATCTTACAAAAATGCTGAAACGAATTTGATGTTTCCGAGGTGTCATTATATTCGAACCGAAGCAGACAGTGATGCATTTGTGGAAGATTTCATTACGACAGCGTTGGTAAGCACACTGAAAATTATTGTAAAAGCAATTGAGAATAATAAAAGAATGTTCACAGAAAATGGCAATGTAAGTTTTAATTTATAGTAACTGTATAAAAGTCAAAAATAATGAAATCGTTTACATCATGACCTCACTAGATACCATACGAATTTATTGATTTTGTGAAACGAAGTATACTAAAAATTTTGAATAAACAAAAAACTGGCAATACTGAGGCAGATATATGGAAATTTAAAAGTCAAAAAGAAGTATTGGACAAATTTCTGATTCATTACACAAAATTGATCAGTGATAGTAACTCCAAATTTAGTCAAGAATACACAAATGAATTAGAAGTAAATCTATGTTGTGCTACAATTATTTAGCAAAAACATTTTAAAATTTAAAAAAATTGTAACCGCTCTGCTATTCAGTAGGTGCGAGTGTACCTCTTCATTGTGTATAGGTCACTGTAATGGATGTGTTAAATTTGAATTCAATGATTAATCATTACCTATACGAAAAACGATTCTGAGCGGAGACGGTCCAGCATTCTAATTAGGTACTATAACTACTAAGTATATTTTATTATACGTTTAATATTTATACTGCTATCATTGAAATTTATTTTAATGTTGGTATTACGGTACTCGTTACATGGTAAAATGAGCAATAGCTTAAAATTAATTTCAATATTTTGAAAATTTCATTGGGTATATTACATTTTTATAATATGAGTAAAAATAACAAGTCCCCACAAATATTTTTGAATCACTACAAAATAACCAAAATCGTTATTGCACATTTAAATATCCCATTTCGTAAATTTTAACAAGAAATGACTATAAACAAAATTGTGCTTTTGTATATTTTTTTATTTTTTGGGGAGTTTTAGTAAGAATTTGCATGCATTTCATCTGTACAAATTGAAAAGATTTTAATTACAAAATAATATTTGTACATTTTTATGATTTTGTCAAAATCTAAACTTAAAATTAATTTTTTTTTAATTCGTGTTTTTAATATTGCTATTATTAAATTGATAAAAGAATATCTTATATGTGATCGAGTATTATTTTTTACTTAGCCTAAAAATTGTTATCTACCAACACTTTTCAACAAAAAAACCAAAAAAAATTCAAATATTTCAAATGCTTATAAATAGCTTAAAATATTAGTTTAAATTTTTAAAAAAAATAGCCAACACAAACATTCAGTGCAAGTATCTACAGTTGTCAGTTTTGAAATAAAAATAATATGAAAATCGATTTTTTATGGTTTTGCATAAAAATTTCCTTTTTTTTCATTTTTGTTTTTCCCAATTATAAAGAAAAATACTGAGGAGTTTTTACTATTGACCTCCCAACGTACCATTAATTTTACTAACAGAAAAGATTTTAAAGTTAAAAACTAAAGCATTTTTGCCGCTCCAAAGGGTGTCGAAAGACTCATAAATTAAAAAACGTATTATTGTAAAATCAATGACTCCGCTCAGAATTTAAAATGTGCAAACATTTTCTATGTAAGTTTTTGTCTCCCAGCGAATAACTTCTCTCCGTCTTCTAGGTTTAGGATAGTACTTCAAAAGAAGCATTATACAAACACTGATTATATTTCTTGTATAATTAAATAACAGCCAAATTATGTTTACTTGGTAAATACTGCAGCCAAATTTTATAAAAGCAAAATATTTTAATACCCAGTTTAGTTAGTCATCTATGATCTATATAATACAAGCAATATTATTTTCATAAAAGATATTGTTCTGAAACATGACCTAATTATAAAATTTGATGTTCAAAAATTGGTTTATACTAAAAGAAGATCACGATTTCATTTGCCCCCTGTCTTATTTTGCTTATGGAGGGCAGGGAAATGATTTGCAAAATGAGTATATAACTTTCAAAAAAATCGGTCATGGTGGGGGGGGGGGCACTTCACGCACTTGATTTCATTATATTCTTAGTGCATGCAAAAATGTATGTTAAATAAAATATGTTTTTAAAATTTACAACTTCTTTAGGTCAATTTTTCCAGTAACATATTCATTATATTCATATTTTTTTATTCATTTTAATAATAAAATCACATCATACGGCGTTTTTGATAGACAATTTTAGCTACGCTAAAGATGAATGTTCATTTTTTCGGGAATCTATAAGGGCCTTGTAAATGAGTTATATTTTTCATTAAAATTACCCAAGAGCTAGTCAAAAATTAAAGTATTTTTTGTGGGTTGACTTTAAAAATAAAAAGATATTTTAATTTATTCTCTTATATTTGTGTTTAAATTTTTTTTTTTTTAAGAGATAATATACAATCTATACAATATAGCATAATAAGTATATGTGAAAAGCGTAGTTATACATGAAAAGACTTGATTAAGAAATCACCCTATGGTAACCCTATATGTGTTTATTTAAAATTGAAATTAATATTCTTGTAACTAAACTTCTCACCGTTCCGAGTATTGAACATAAATAAATGTAAAACTCTTTAAATTGTTCATTCTCATTAACAATTCACTGAATATGAATTAGTAAGCAGTCCGATTTCTAGTTTATAAATTATATGATATGCATTCAAACATATTTTTAATTTTTAAACCTAAATACTAGAAGAACCCTTTTTAAAAATCCATTATAGCTATTTCACGTTTATAAATTATTTTTGAATCTACTATTTTTTGATCTATTATTGAAATAATTCTTAAACATCTGTGTGTAGGACTACTGTAGGTACTATATTTTTGATATTGGTTACGGATATGTTGGCGATTGGCGGTAACCACAATCTTATTATAATTACTATTTCTTACACAGTAAAGACTAAAGACACGCCATTTCAGAAATTACGGAAGAATTGCCTATACATAACCCCTTAACCTCATCCAAGGACTTGTCTTTTCAAGGAAAGGTTTTTTTAAATAATCAACAATTCACTTATAAATCAATTTTAAACGACATTTACATATTTGACATACACTCTCACATAGTAGCATCGCTAAATTGCTGTAATGATAAATGCTAACGAGCAGGTTCCAAAAAATATAGATCGTGAGGTACCTACCAGATAACAAGGCTTAAACATTTTTCTGTACTCTCTTAATTGTACGAAAAATGAGCAGGATTTGTCAATGGAATCGATATTTCGGATTTTCTAGTAATTATAATATGTAATCTGTGTTATACTATAGTTCGATGTCTACGCAAAATGTAAATATTTACTCGAAGAAGTGAAAACATATTGTCCCCAACACTATATAGACGGAATTACCAATACATGGATCATAAAACCCAGGTCAAACTGTTCTGGTCATGGCATCATATTGTCTAGAAACTTGCAGACGATCAAAAAAAAAATCGCTGGAGCAGATGTCTTGAGAAATAATCATATTGTACAAAAATATATAGGTAAAAATAATCCAATACATTAAAAAGTAATAAGACATAAAAACTACCAAAATTCTTTTTATTTTTAGAAAGACCCCTTTTGGTTTATACTTGTAAAATTGATTTGCGACAATGGTTTTTAGTGACCAATATGAGTCCAGTAGTTGTGTGGATGTATAAGTTAGTATACCTATACAATATTTTTCAAATGTCTATTACCATTTGTATAATTGCATCATACGGATTACATGAGCACAATGTTTAATAGAAAAAATTGTTGAAATAACCATTTTTTTACAGAGAGGGTTATGTCCGATTTTGTACTAACAGTTTCTCCATGGAAAACATGCATGAATCCATTCATCTGAGCAATGTTAGGCTGCAAAATAAATACCGAAAATTTAGAAATTCGCAAATACCCGAAGAGTGCATGTGGGATTACAGAGAACTACAAAACCATTTAAGGTACATAACATATAACTGGTATGGCTCTATGAGGTACCGAAAGTTCATACTGTACCGCTTTAAGAGGCCTCACAACTGATGTAATTTTAGTCAAAAACTGGGTACTTATTAAGAATCCTACTGTATGGCATATAATTTCTCCCGATTTTCATTCTGAAAAAATATGAAGACTCTCTATATCAAGGAAATAATCAAGCTACATTTTTACACTCGTATTTTGAATAATTATAATAAGTGGTTCAAAAATTTTAAGATAAAATATTTAGTCGGATCTAAATAATTTTAAAAACGTACTGCGGTCGAATATAGTTTTCAAAATAAAAAATATTGTTATCATTTTGATGTCATATATTGGAATAATTAGAATTGTATTTAAAAAAACATATTTTTTGTTTTGTGATTATAGAATATATTTGGATCTCATGTAAAACTCAATGGAGGTGTATAAAATAAACCCCGAGAGGTACTCATACCTTTACTATAATGTAATCTGTATTTCCATTTAATATGACCATTTATTACTAACACACGGATATGGTCAACGGCCAAATTCTTATTAAGTTGAATATAAAATGTTCCTTTAAACCTTTATTAATCTAGTCGTCACAACTCATAGGTCTCTTGAGTTATCTTGAAAACCAATTGGCAATTGTTTAATACAGATTTTACTACTAGCCTGAGGCTGAAGTATATATTTTTCGTACTCCTCGATTTATATTTTTTTTTAAATAAGAAAAATAATCAATATGAAAAAATTATAAAAATAAAAATATTAACAAAGAATTTTCGTAATACAGACCACTTTAATTGCTTAACCCACTCTTTTGATACTCTCCATGAAGACCTCTCCATTCCAACAGTTTAACTATAACTTGTCATCAAAACCTCATATTATAAACGCTTCCACTCTAATCCATCCATCCGTCCAAAATAACTCTCTAATTTCCTACTTATCCCTTCTGAATAGGCTAGAAGACGTTTAAAAATGTATTGATACGTAATCTTCTAATTAAATAAAAACTAATAAAACATCGCCGTGACTGATTTCCTCTAACAAAAGTCTATCAACGTAAAACTCCTTCTAACTCGGTTTACACTAATTGAACAAATAAATAACTATAGTTTATCTGACCATGTCTTATGATAAATACAACAAATAAACACTGCACAGTCACAAAATGTGTAACACATAATTTTAATCCCTGCTGTGTCGAACTAAATATACGTCGTATTCATATAATATAATTGTGTAGGTTATTTCTGTGTAGCCGTATATAGTCTTACAATTACATAACTTTTTCAGAAATATTGGACAAGAATACGTATGGGATGAATTAATATTTCCCGGGATGTGCGAAAGTATTTACGCTGTGTTACAAGCTGCTACGGACACTTCGTTTTACCGCGACAAAACTTTTCAATTGTTTGGAGCCGATTTCTTGATCACGGATAACTTTATCCCATATTTGATCGAGATCAATTCCATTCCCGGACTGAATCCATCTACGAGCGTCATTGCAAATTTGGTGCCTATGCTCCTAGGTGACATAATAAAAGGTACCTAAATCATTTTTATACCTAGCGTTGTAAATTATTTGGGTACTTGTATTTTAGTACTGAGTTGGTGTGTTTCGTAATGCTGCACAGATTTTTGACACTGTTATTTGGATTATTTCGATTAAGCATAAAATATAGGTGTTAAGTTATTTACATTTATGTTAAGTTACATCTTATACAACTATTTTATTTACCGTGCTCTATTAAGAGCACCTAAACAGTATCCAAACACCATAGGTTAGGTCAAAAACATTTTTTACAACATTCAAGCTACCTACAGTTATTGTAAAAAACTAACTGTAATAATTACTATCAAAATTATCATAATCTTAACATATATAAGAAATTAGATATTCAACGAAGAATAACGACTTTAATTTTCATTGTAATTCAAAAATGTTTTTCGTTTGGTATTTTTAAAGTGTTATCATTTATGAATACAATTATTTTTTAGTATAGTCTATACATCTGTATAAAATTATTTTTTCAAAATATTTAGATCAATTTTAAACTATTGCCTATCTTATAACACTTACCCATTCACACACGGCAAATCGGTATTCACTCAAGAGTTATAAAAACAATGATAATATATGATATAGGACGTGGGTATAATTAATATGAGCTATTATAATAATTAATAATTAATAATTTAGTAAATGCAATGTTTTGGACAACCTACCGTATTACGTTTTACTAGTAGTTGAATAAACTATACTATAACTTGGCTACGTCAATGGTATAATATACACTAAAAATATTAGATTTTCGTTTTCTGAAACAAAATTCCTGAGTCTATAGCTGAAGTGAGATTTTTCTTAAATCTCTTCTCTGTCTAATACTTTTTTATAGTGACGGTGGACTACAAGACAAACTTGAACGCCGACACAGGGCTGTTTGTAAGGGTTGTGCCGGAAAAGTGGAAACCATCCTCAGGGACCGCAGTCAACTGCAGCAGAAATCCATTAAATTCGTCGGCGGCTCTGACTGCGGAACAGACACCTTTCACGTTTGACTACCACCGCCGGTGGATGGACAGTGTCAATAAAAAGTTAGTGGCACTACAGCTACATAGGAAAAAACAAAAATAATAGACCGAAGTAAGCAGACACTAATACCGCCACCGTCGTCATCCCAATGAATCGTCAAATCTCACTCAGCTAATCCGAAAAAATAATTTCGTAAGTCGACTTGTTTTTAATTTAAGGGATGAGTGTCGTTCAGCGATCGGCTAACACTTATCATAGTTATCACTCATTAACCATTGCTAATGTACGGTTGATTTTTGTACAAAAATAATTGTATAAAAAATGATTAAATAAAATACCTATATTTTCAACCATTTTGAAAAATCTTAAAATACAACCAAGTAAATATAAGATTCAATTAAACAGTCGCATTTAAAAATTAAAAATATATTATCAACACAAAATGAACACTTGGAAATTAGGGATTAAATCAATCAGGTTTACCTTATTTGATCTGCAGTGACGATACATTATATAATAACTATAATTATCTAATTTATAAGTTATCTATATGTGAACATATAACTTATAAGTTATAACTAACCTCAATGAAATCTTTTCAAAGTACTACATCTACCTACCTCTTAAGTGGATTAGTTTTCTTGTTTTAATTTTTAAAAAACTAGCAATTTTTTTTAACAAATATTGTATTTCATAGATGTTTAATAAATAATGATTTATGAGTATGCTACTATGAGTGAGTAGCATATTCTTATAATTTATTACTGTAAATTCATAAAATATAGAATTTTTTATAAACATAAGTCTTATGCCATGTTGAATAAAAAGTTGATTCAATTTAATGAACCAATCATGGGCCATTGAATCGTATTTAAGGGACCATTATTCATTATATAGTCATTACTCTTTAGCTCACTATTGATTCATTAAATGTTTGGTGCAACTCGGCATAAACATATTAGTCAGTCTAAAAAATAGTTTTTATTATTTTTTATACTAATTAAAATAATTATTATATTTTATTTTATTTTCAGTAATAAATTATAAGAATATAATTTTTTTCTATAATATGCACATTACATAATTTGCGGGAAAAAATCATAAAAATCTATTGATTTTTGTCTTATAACGTCGGAAAAATTTGCCATCCCTACAGTTGTATAATATGTAAAGTTACATTCATTGTAGGTTGGATTACACAAACGGGTCACGTGATTAAACCATACTATACTCTTTAGTGATACAAAGCTAAATTGATTTCTTTGTAATGTATATTATAAATATTATATTATGTATAATATATATAATAATATAATATTATTATATTTTTGTTATTATTATTATTATTATATATAGGTATTTTATTTTATATGTATTATTATGAAAATTGATAAGAAAAATTATGAGGAGCGGAAATGTGAATGTTTATGATATTTAAACGTGGGTATTTAGAGCTGCTGTAAATATTATTATTTGATGTAGCTATTTCACTATGTCAATGTCAATGATATTCCGGATACTCACCATTGTCGGTTGGTTTTCGTATAGGTTTAACACGCATGGTATGTTTACAACGATGTGTATAATAGGTAATATACATATGGGAAATTGGAATGCGTTTTCACACCGTTCATAATGCCATTTACAACAATAATAAAACGAACTCAAGTTTTCACGAAAATTATTCACGCTCCGGATTCCTTCAAGCGATAATTCACAATGCTCATCTATACCAGAAGCTGCGGTCCACCGCTGTAGCAGGTTAGGTTAAGTAGTAGGTACCTACTTAGCTATAGATCCTATGTCAAATTCAAAGATAAACACTAATTTTTCGAAAAGTACTAACGATTTTGAAAATGTAAGTATTATTTGATATTTTTACATAATTTTAAATGATTACAAGACAACAATTTTATTTTGAATTATATTTTTTAGAGTATTTCAATACTTAAACCGAGTTTTGGACTAGCAACTAATTAGTTATAAGTATTATGAGTATGCTAATATAGATAAGGCCTGTAAAGCTAAGTAGAATTGGACCCGAGTTCCGAGTGACCAGGGATACCCCTCAAAAAAGTTATCTTTTAACCTAACCGTCTTATCACTATAACAAACTGCTTCTACGACATATTCCAAAACATATTCTGCTACACAAAACAGTAAAAAACTTAAAAAACGGTAAATTTTTTCATCTACATTAAAATAAATACATAAATATGTTTTTGGGCTGGACACACGTTTTATTGTTTCTGACCGATTTTTAGTAAGGTGTTTGTTGTCATGGTTACTTAAAAAAAAAACGTATATTTATGATTTATAGATTTCCCTTGTAGAGTAAAAATATCGAGTAACCTAGTGTAGTATGGTTTTTTCTAAATACCGAGTGGTAAATGAATTTGGTAAATGAATCACCCGGTATACGCACATTATAATATAATATAAATTATAATCTGCAGCCATCATACCTTTTACATAACGATACAATTAATAATAATATAATAATATTCATCTATAGGCCATGACAGATGAAATAGTGACCACTGACTAATATATTACAATAAATTGTGGTTTCACGATATCTCACAACAACCACAAACCCGTTGGAAAACTCTCCTAACGGACGTCTAGATCACGATTATTATAAAACCAAAAATTAATAAACTGAGTTACCGAAAAACATTGACACACCTAGTTGAAGTCGCGGCACCTACTTATTCATTGATATAATATAAGTTATAATCAGCACTATTTTGTGAGTGCCTAGTAGATAATTGGACTGCGGTCATTATGTGACATTTCTGACGTTCGTCGATCGATAATAATATAATATAAATAATATAAATAAAATGAAAGCAAAATGTCTAAGTACACCATGAATAAGATGTGTATTGATAAGTGATGACAATATTATACGCTAGTTGGTATACGATATAATATATTATTATATACTCGTATCAACGTGATTAAGAAACAATAATGGTATCGCAAAATTGTGTTCTCAATTTATCACAGTTGCAGTTGAACAATCGTTGACCTACAAAGGAACATAAAGGATAAGAAAATCTATTATGACTATATAGTAGTATACCTAGTTTATAAGTAAATAGAAAATATAAACCACGAATAAACCTATATGAAATGTTTAATTTAAAAAAAAAATTTGATGATTATAATTAATAAGTAAAATACTAACATAACGTAATAATTATAATATAGCTAGGTTAGGTTAGCTAGGATGGTTTCATTTTGTCCAAACATAAAGCCAGTTAAAATGTTTATGGGTCATTAAAGTGATGAATTCATTTCAATTGCATTAGGTTCAGACTCTCAGATGATAGTCACTAACAAAATCCAATAGCAGTAATTCATTTTATAAAAAATATCCGAATATTATCTTTTGACTATCATAAAGTTTCTTCTATGTTATATTTAATAGCAGTAACGACAGGTACCTTTGAATCAATCTACTTTACGATGTTTAACTATTATTCACAGTCTTAAAGTGTGAAGTCCTTAAAACTTAAAATTGAACCTTAAAATTTGTGATTTTCGAAATTTTGAAATGTTGTTACAGTAATACTGTTTTTATATTAAATAATATCTTATAGGGCCCGCAAAAACATTTAATACAATAAGTGTCCGAAATTTGATGTGGAGACGTTCTTATAAATGTGTTACGAGTTTCTAAAAACTAAATAAACATATGTTAAAATATTAACATGTATATGATTAGAATGGCATCCCAGAGTTATTCCCAAAATAACAACATGTGGTTGGAACATAATAGTTATAAATAATATTATGATAATAGTAGAATTTATTAAAAGTTTTAATTGTTGGCTTCGATAATGAATGGCACCTATCAAATGTATCAAGTAGTATGCCTATCCCATTTAATATATTAATATATGATTAAATAACTGAGATTTAGATCAAACTATTTGCATTTACTAAAACAGGATTTTACCAACACAGACAAAAACAAGGGCGTTGACCGAATTGTAAGACCTCTGGTCTATGAAAAGAGGAACGAAAACATCATTTAAAAGGAAAATTGCTGCACAGCATTTTTGATGTAGAATAGCCTTAGAGTCCTGAGCACCTTCGGGCCACAAGAATTTTACAATTACATATTTACATTTATAACTTGTGTTTTTACTTAAAAATAACAACTATTTATTATTATTATTATTATTAAGCAAACTATCCGCGACGCCTGTGGCCATTGGATATAACAGTACATTATATATATATTTACACATTACATGAATTTTTAAATTATGATATACAGAATAATTAACAACTATTTAATTATTCAACTGATGAAAATTGTCTTGAGTTTATTAAAACACTTCAGCAATCAATTAAAATTTAAATCACTGGCAGAGCCGCACGCAACAAATGTATAGTATAATACAGAAGACAGTAGTACCCAACCCGAGAAGGTATTCTATGTGGCCCATAACGAATTTTCTAAAAAAAAAATTTGAAAAATGTATGAAAAATGTTTAAATTATTTATTTTCATAATTATTTTTATTTAAATTTACAAATTCGTTTAAATAATTATTTCAAAAAATAAAATTATAATGATAATAATAAAACTAAAAACTATACAGAAATGTTATACTCTTATTTTTAATGTGAAATTTGAGCTTATACTTCTTTTACTAATAATGGAAAATCTGGTTGAAATGTAGCGGTTCTAATCCTCAAAATTTGAATGAAGGTGTTCACCCGTAAGTCGCGATCTATGAACTGATTTTGTTTGTTTCATTCGTGAAAATATTTGTTAGCATTTATACGTCGAGCCAAATACAGTAGCCATTTTCATTATAAAGTCTCTTAAAGCAGGGAAATCTTCGTGTGTTTTTTTTAAATAAAATGTTGAAATATCGTTTTGTTTCATGTTTTGAAATTCATCACAGTAAAATGAATTTGTTTTCGACTCAATAACTTCAAGTTGAAGAGAAGTGCCGACAACATTTTCATCAATATTAAATGGATTTTCAAATTAACGCCACGATTTTTTCGTGTAATTTAACATCAAAAAATCGGTTTTATACTTTGTGGCCCGCTTGAAGATAATTTTTTACCAAAGTG